GGTTTCTCCAGTCACTGTCAGGCCAGTAAGTCTGGTCTTTTTTTGTGAGTTAGAATTGTTTGTTTGTTTGTTTACTGTTGTAGTTTAAGTGAGTTTATGTTTCAAGTTAGTCTCTCATACAAAAATTTATACATACATTGTTATGTAACCCTAATTGCTCTCCCTATACTGTGACAGCACACTCCTCCTTTCCACCCCTGATTTCCCATGTCCATTCAACCAGCTCCTAACCCTCTCTGCCTTCTCATCTCACCTCCAGACAGAAGCTGCCCATTTAGTCTCATGTAGATACTTGACCTAAGACGCACACTCCTCACGAGTATCATTTTATGTCCCACAGTCCAGTCCAATCTTTGTCTGAAGAGTTGGCCTCGGGAATTGTTTTAGTTCTGGATTGACAAAGTGTCCGGGGGCCATGCTTTCTGGGATTCCTCCAGTGTCAGTCAGACCATTAAGTCTGGTCTTTCTACTAGAATTTGAGGTCTGCATCCCACCCTTCCCTTGCTCCATCAGGGACTCTTTATTGTGATCCCTGTCAGAGCAGTCAGTGGTGGTAGCCCAGCACCATCCAGTTGTACTGGACTCACTCTGGTGGAGACTGTGGTAGTTGTGGTCCATTACTCCTTTGGCCTAATCTTTCCCTTGTATATTTAGTTTTCTTCATTCTTCCTTGCTCCCGAAGGGGTGAGACCAGTGCAGTATCTTTGATGGCCGCTCAGAGGCTTCTAAGACCCCACATGCTACTCACCAAAGTAGAATATAGAACATTTTCTTTATAAACTATCTTATGCCAATTGAGCCAGATGTTCCCCGAGACCATGGTCCCCACAGCCCTCAGCCTAGCAATTTGGTCCCTCAGGGAGTTTGGATGAGTCTATGGCGCTGGCTTCCCCGGTATTGTGTACTGTCTTACCCTTCACCAGAGTTACCACTTATCTATTGAAAATACCAGAAATCTTTCATCTGCTTTTCTGGTACCGACGGAAATAGTTATGATAAAGTAGAATATCATGCAAAGTGCAAAGGCCCAGAATCTCACAGTAGTGCTTTAGCTGACTGATAACGTTAAAACAAGATGCATCAACCTAGATAATTGCTCCTGTAATCACAGAAGGGAGAGGCCTTAGAGGAATTCAGAGGGCCTATTGTTAACTGTCAGAGACAACCCTTGATTGGAAAAAGTGGGAAAATTCTGAAGTGTGCAAAATTAGAATGCTTTTTTGCTAAAGGTAATATTTGGTGCTCTCAGAATGCTTGACACATGTCTTCGGCTATCTAGCGCTGCTATAACAGAAATACCACAAGTGGATGGCTTTTTTAACAAACAGAAATTTATTTTCTCACAGTCTAGTAGGCTAGAAGTCAAAATTCAGGATGCCAGCTCCGGCAAGGCTTTCTTTGCCAGCTCTGGGTGAAGGTCCTTGTCATCAATCTTCCCCTGGTCTAGGAGCTTCTCAGCACAGGGACCCTGGCTCTAAAGGACACACGTGCTCCTGGCTCTCCTTGTTTGATGGCATGAGGTCCCCCCATCTCTTTGCTCGCTTCTCTCTTTTATATCTCCAAAGAGATTGACTTAAGATACAACTTACCAGAAGAACTAGATGGTCACCAGTGACCGCCCTGACAGGGAACACGACAGAGAGTCCTGGACAGAGCAAGAGAAAAATGTAGAACAGAATTCAAATTTACATAAAAAGATCAGACTTAATGGTCTGACAGAGACTGGAGGAACCCCTGAAACTATGATCCCTAGACGTTCTGCTAACCCAGAAATGAAACTATTCCCAAAGCCCACTTTTCAGACAAAGATTAGACATGTGTAGAAAACAAAAAATTAATACACGTGAGGAACGAGCTTCTTGGTTCAATCAAATATGCGAGACCAAATGGGCATTTCCTGTCCAAAGGCAGGATGAGAAGGCAGGAAGGGACAGGAACTGGATGAATGGGCACAGGGAACCCGGGGTGGAAAGGAGGAGCGTGCTGTCACGTTGTGTGGATTGCAACTAATGTCACAAAACAATGTGTGTATAAACTTTTGAATGAGAAGTTAACTTGAGCTATAAACTTTCACCTAAAGCACAATTAAAAAAAAAAAACCCTACAATCTAATCTTGTAGTAGATTGAGTCCTGGCTCATTAACATAACTGCCTCTAATCCTGCCTCATTAATATCACAGGCGAGGGATTTACAATACATAGGAAAATCATATCAGATGACAAAATGGTGGACAATCACACAATACTGGGAATCATGCCTAACCAAATTGATACACAATTCAGTCCATAACAATGCATAATGTCAAATAATTTTAAATGGAAATTAGCAAAAAATGCTTTATGATATTACCTAAAATAGGAGAGATACATTGGCAACAATGTTACACCAACATTGGTGGGGTAATATAGGAGTTGCAAAATATGAAAACAACCCAGATGTGTATCAATTGATGACTTGATAAACAACATGTGGTTGATCCATATAGCGGAATATTATTACTTAGCCATAATAAGGAGTGAAGTACTGATACAGGCTGTGCTTTGAAACTTTGAAAACATGTGAAAGAAGCCAGTAACAAGAGACCACATATTATATGATTCCACTTACGTAAAATGTCCCAAATCAGCAAATACACAGAGATAGAAAGTGAATTAGTGGTTGTCTAGGGTAGCTATGAAGATGATGGCAGCTCTTCTATTACTTTTCTTCCTTCTTCCCTTTCTTCTTCTTAGTTTATAATCTAAAAG